AGATTGAAAAGCTCAGTCCATCGATCTGAGATAATTCAGAACAGATGATAGTTTACTTCTGATGAATTTTCTAATTTTAGGCTCATAGATGATAGTTTGTGTTAATTTTGGGATCATATTTGGGTTCCTGCTACAATAAGGACAGATATTCTAGAGGCGGTTAATATCTCCAAACTGTTGATTCACCCCGAAAGTATTAAGATATACCGAGACTTGAAACACCAATATTGGTGGTCTGGAATGAAGAAAAACATTATCAATTATGTCTCTCAATGCCTTATTTATCAACAAATTAATCATAAATCTAGCGGTTTATTGAAAGACATCCTTATTCCAAAATGGAAGTGGGAGCATGTGACCATAGATTTTGTAATTAATTTGCCTAGAACCAGTTCTGATCATAATGCAATATGGGTCATTGTAGACAGGTTGACCAGGACTGCACATTTTTTTTAATAAAAATAACAGAATCTACCAACAAGTTAGCTCGTCTCTACGTCGAGGAGATTGTTCGACTCTATGGCTTTCCCTCTTCTATTATTTCAAACAGAGATCCTCGATTCACCTTTGATTTTTGGGACAGTTGTCAAAAAATCATTAATTTAGGATTATATTTAAATACTACCTATCACCCTCAAACTAATGGTCAGTCTGAGCATATCATCCAGACATTAGAGGATATGTTGCGCGCTTGTGTTCTCGACTTTAGTGGCAATTGGTATGAGTATCTTCCTTTATGTGAATTTGTTTATAACAATAGTTATCATTCCAAGATCAGTATGGCTCATATGAAGCCTATGGTAGGTTATGTCGTTCCCAACCTGTTGGAATGAAGTCACAAAGCAGCATCACTTGGGACTAAATTACATTCAGAAAACCATTGAGAAAGTTGTCATTATTCGCAAGAACCTCACCACCTCTCAAAGTCATCAAAAGAGTTACATTGACAATTGTAACAAACCACTGAAATTTGATGTTGGCGATCATGTCTTTCTTAAGATATTTCATAACAAAGGTAAAATACGATTTGGTAAGAAGGAAAAGCTGAACCCTCGATATGTGAGACCTTTTATTATCGTGGAATATATCAGACCCATGGCATCCACCTCGTTCTACCTCTAGAGTTTGCGGGTCTGCATGATGTTTTCTGTGTCTCTATACTTAAAAAGTACTACCCTGACCCTTCTCACATTATTCTTAACCAAGAAATGCAGGTCCAAGAAAACATGACTCACGAGGAGTTTTCCACTAAAATCCTTGATCGGACAGATAAAGTCTTGAGTAATAAGAGGATCCCGATGGTGAAAGTATAGTGGCAACACCACACTCCAGAAGAGGCGACGTGGGAACTGGAGGATGAAATACAGGAGAACTTTCCTCATCTATTTATAACAAATTTGGATGACCAAATTTTTTAAAAGTGCGTGGAATGTAATACCTCAAAATCTTTACACATAATTATTATGTAAAACCTTTATTAATTCGGGTCCTAAAGCCATTAACTCTTTAAATTTATGTTTTTGATTTTCGAATGAAATTGGGTTTAAAATTTAGATTTTATATTTTTGCAAACTTCTTTAATTATTTATTTATTTGTTTATTTATTTTATATATTTTTACAAATTTTAAAAATTCTAGGAAAAACAAAGAAGAAAAATAGTAAAAAAATCCTGCGAAAAAGGCTGCGGGAAATTGTTTCCCTCCTGTGCACGAATAGCTTAGAATGTGCGCCTGCGCGCATGTCCCATCCATGCAGAGCAAGAGATGCGTAGTCTGCGTGCGTGTCACATCGCACGCAGACGATGCATGGGTCTATGCACTTATGCCCGTGCCTGTGTGCGATGCCCTGAGGTAGCGATCGTTGTTATTCGGCTGATGTGTCGTTGTCGTTTGGGAGGCGTGCTCCCTCAGACGACGCACCTTCAGTCTTTGTGCATTCGTCGTGTCGCTGTCATCTCGTTGGTCATCTGTCAATCGTTGCGTTGCATCAGTCATTCTTTCTCTTTCCTCTCTCCCCATGAATTTTCACCACTTAACAGAAATCCAGTGGTCCCCTTTTTCTATAAATAGAGATCTTCTCCACCACTCTTTCATCACTTCATCTTCATTTCTTCCATTCACTAAAGTAATTTTAGAGAGAGAGAGCTAGAGAGAGATAAGGAAAATTTTGAAGAAAAAAGTGTGTAGGAAAGACTTCAAGCTTTTGGTAAGGAAAGTTAGTAGTTATTTTGCATGTTCTAAGGAGTATTTCTAGATTAATAAAAAAATATTGTATGAATATGACATGGCTTGTTTCATGTTTGATTATTGCTACATTTTAAATATATTTACGTAAATATTCCATGATATTACATGATCTATATCATTCTAACAAGTGAATAAGTAAACATAATGAATATTATGGCATGATAAGAGATGTCGTAAGAAGCATAATGTTAATTAACCAACACATGGAATGAATATTGACGTTTGCATGCATGATATTTACATTAACATGATCCATTAGGCTTTTTATCTCTGAGAGGTTCTGTTTCTCCCTCCATCTGATATGAAAAAATATGAGAGGATTGCTCTCTGTGGATGACAGCGTATCATTTAACGAGAGTGGTGACACGATATAATTGTAGGGGTAACTTTTGGCGATGTACGACCATGACTATAATTTACATGTAGTACCACTGTGGTTAGCACGGTTGTGGTTATAGAATATGTCATGGTTTAAAAAGCCATTAATGTGTTGTAGTGTAGCAAGTCGTAAATGTACTAAAAATTATATGAAATGAATTTGTCATTTCACAGTAGTAGTCGAGAATCCGTATTACTCTAAGTAGATAGAGGTCGAAATAGTTTTGCGTGAAAAATAAGTAAAGCATGAAAAGAAAACATGATATGATATGATTATATGTTTGATGTGATTGACTTGATATTGACGTTTTTCTAAATAAAATAAAATCTTTTCTTTATTATTGAAATGGTCCCACATGCATGTTCCCCGATGGTAAGCAGATAAAGTATTATTTTTAAGTTGTTTACTTTTAAAATCTTAGTAATCTTAATTAAATACTATTTTCCTTATTGAGTATGTAAAACTCCACCCTTTTTCATGACTTCATTTGCTAGTTGACTTGGCCATTGAAACCTTTTGAGGATTATGTGGATCCATAAATCATTATGAGTGCTCATTTTGTTTCGCACTCTGATGAGTCCAACTTTTGAATAACTTGTAATTACTTTTATTTCATCTCAGTATTGTAAGATTTGGAACTCAAACTTATTTTGTAAGGAATTGTAATATATTTTATTCTACTGTATATAATTTTTTTTTTAAAATGCACTTGTAATCTATTTTTGTATCTGTCACTTTTATACTTTAATTAGTATATGACATCGTTACACGGTCTTCTTTCAATTAATTTCTGCCATTTGATATCTTCTAAATCCATCACCAAGCAAGCTCACTCAAACAGTAAACATTAAACTAAAGCAATCAAGTTAAAACAATTCAAATAATATATTTTTAATATACTATTCATGCATTCAGATTTAACAATTGTAAAACAATTAGAAAACCCATTAGGAGTATAAAGATATTGCCAAAATCACAGCTGAACAAGTTTTAGTTTCCAAAAAGGGGCAAAATAGTTGTTGGTTTTGAAGAAGAAAGGCTAGCTGTAGTGGTTGTACTTGCATAACTTTTTTGCAGAAACTGGGAAGAAGAAAAATGAAAATGGCGATGAGTGTTCATATCCAAATCAAGAAAATATGAGGTAAGTGAAGAGCTTACCTTTCAGGAAGAAGGAAAGAAGCTTGATGACAAACTCGCTGTGACGGAGGGGATGACAATAGTTTGTCTTCTTCCTTACATGCTCTCGACTCTCACTCACTGACTCTCTCTCTCTCAAGTTCTTTTCTTTTTGGGAAGCAAAAGAAAAATGGAAAAAAAATGGAGAGAAGATGGTTTAAATACGAGAAGGGAGGAGAAATGTGATCCACTGGATCACATGTATAGAATCCCAATCGTTGATCGGCTTAGTGGCTGACCGTGCATGGCTTGAAATTGTCAAGTGTCCCTCGACTATAGTAGACGTGAAAGGAGGGGCAACCATGCTGAACAGTGGCTAGTTAGAGTGAGGGAATGTGCAGGTCCATGTGTGTGCAAACCTTGTCGTGTGGGCAGGGGAATTGCCTGTGAGGCATGCACATGCCAAATTGCATTCCCGCAGGCTTTTCTCGTGAGGCTTGCTCGCAAGGTGTCCTCTTTTCCTATTTTTGTTATTTTTTTTGTTTTTATTTTCAATTCTAAATTTTAAAATGCACATTCCCACACATATATTTAAAAACCAAATAATAAAAATCCAAATAATTTCAAATACAATCATGTGAGTTCTGATAAGAAAATTTGAGGTGACACAAAATTCAACAATTTTTAATTTAATTTATGATTTAATGTGATTCTATAAAATTGATGTTGTAATTTGAGGTGTTATTGAATTTGAAGAAAAAAAGTATTCAATTGGCTTGTGATTTTCTATTCTTAATTTTATGTTTATTATTATTATTATATTTTATTTTATTTGAGATTTACAATAAATTTTTAATTTTTTCACTCCTATTTTTAGATAAAAATGTTATACTTTTTGAGTTAGTTTGTTCATATTACTAAAAAAGTATACGAACAACTTTTATTATTTCTGTAAAAAAATTTAGTAAGTAATTTATATTTTTAAATAATTTTATAAATTTAAGAAATAAATTATAAAAAAATTTAAAACTAAATTATAACTTACCACATTGTTCCTGGTTACACGTAATTTATCAAATTGCTCCTTGTTCAGTTTCTTTTCTTTTTTAGATCCCTAAGCTAAGCACATTCGTATCTTCCCTCGTGGGCTTCACTCGTCTGTTTCTAAAGCGAGCGCACAAAAGCGAGCTCAGTTCTCTCGATACCTTTGGCCCTGAAACTACGTTGTTCTGCTGAAGATGAGTGTTGCATTGGAATTGTTATCGGTGAAAAGCCGTAATCCTAACTCATTGAAGACCGATGTTTCTTCTTCTTCGGTGGCGTTGCGTGCGTTACCGTCTATGCGCTTCCAGTCTCTGCTCAGACCTAGTGGTTGTCGAGTCTCCCTTGCAAGTCGAAGAGTTTTTACACCGAGAGACCCTGGTTCTCCTTCTCTGAGCCGAGGTTGTTCCTTGAATCGATCGGTTTCTCTTGTTGCTTTGGCTGCTTCTCATGAGGAATCCGTAAGCTCAGGTGTCCTTTATCTAATTTTTATTTAAAATATTTAATCAATTAATTAAGACATTTTTAATTGGCATTTCGGGGCATTGGAGTCTGTCTGAAATATTGTTTTACCAAGCTTTCATACATTAATCATGGCAATGATTCTTTCTCTCTGTGTGCATTATTTTTACTTCATTGCTATTCCTTTTTCTGTCTGTTTGTTTTTACAAATAGGAGTTTGTCATGATTAATTTTGATTTCTCAGAAGCATTCAGATGTAGAGTTGGAGAAGGAAGGGGATGACGATTTAGGAGCTGAAGAATCACCAGAAGCGTGGAAAGAGGCTCTTATTTCTTTCCAAGAACAAGTTTTAAGGTTGCAATGCCTCTCGCGAGAAGCATACGAGGTTCACTCTAAGAAGGCGATTGAAATTCTGAAGGAAACCAGCGAGCAGCTGAAAATTCAAGCAGACAAGGCAAGAAGTGATTTAGGTGTGATAGCAAAGGAGTTCACTGAAGAGGGTAAAGAGTATCTTTCCACAGTGGCAGTGAATTCCCCTGAACCAGTGAAGGAGATTTTTGAAACATATTCTTCCTCTGCTCATGATATCAGTCATTTCTCTAGTGCCCGTGATTTTCATGTTGGAATACCGTATGGTATGTACAAAGTATCACAGAAGTTGACTAGCAACGTTTTCAAGCAATGGATATCCGTTATGTATGCTTTGTTTTGCAGGTTTCCTCCTTTCTCTGGGTGGCTTTCTTTCCTTCATGATAACTGGCAGCGTTTCTGCCATTAGGTTTGGTGTTATTCTAGGGGGAGTGCTTTTGGCCTTAAGTGTGTCAAGCTTAAGATCCCACAACAAAGGAGAACGATTTCCTCTGGCCTTGAAAGGACAGACAGGTACGTACTTATTTTTCTGCGTTTTGATTTAAAAATATAAGAGTGTAAGTAGTAATTGATATATGAAATCACTGGCTTCTAGCAGATTTGTTAGCATATCCCCTTCATTGTGTTAGTTTTCAGTGCCTTCTCATTTGGCATGACATTTGCATGTCCTCTGGAAAAGGAAAAACGTAATTTAATTTGTCAAAGTGACTTTCAGACCTTATGGTTGTGAAGTTATTACTTAATTCCTCTCTTCATCTGTCATAAGTGTCTCCGCAAGCAAGTTTTCTACTCTTATGTCTCGAAATTATGCTTTGGAGGTTATTTTGTTTGTCATATTTTGGTAAATTTGGCTTCGGTCACCTGTTTCAAGTCATGATTCTTATTACATAATCAAAATTATCATTTGGGCTTGGCATTTTGTTTTTGGATAAAAGTATTGAAATTTATGATCTGTACTGAAGTCCAGGTACGCTATTTATTTTGAAACCAGAATTCAGGTAGGACTATTTTTGTTTTCATTTTTAGTTGATGTAAACGTGTGTTGAACCAGCGTACACCATCTCCATAAAGAAGAACTTAACCATTAGAGCTACAAGGCTCTGGTTCAGTGTTCTATTTAACTTGTTAAAGTTGTAATTACATACTATGTACAAAAATGAATCAGTTTCCTGCTTAGACTCCTGTGCTTACTTTGCTGCTGGTTTATATGGTCTACAGCAATAGCAGCTATTATATTTTTGAGGGAGATGTGCCTGCAATCTCAGGTATTAATTCATCATGCAACCTGTCTTCTTTCTTAAAGTGTCACTTATATTTGATCTAATATTCTCTTTTTTCCCTTTCCAGAGACCTACAGTTCTGAAGTTTTTGACAACCTTTGTCAGGTTAACTTCTTGTTTTGTTCAAGTATTTGCAATTACATTCCTTCAGTCTTTCTTTCACTTGGTGAATTTCTGAAAATTTTAATGCTGAGAATGGTTAGCTTATCATCCCTTTTTGGGGAACATGTTTATAAATTATTTCACCTTGAAGGTAAAGACAGCATAACTTTTGTTTTGATAGAAAAAGAAATATCATAGACTGAGGGAAAAATAAAAGATTAGACAACAAAAAATCATCCTAAAAGGAAAGTAAGAAAAAGAAAAATATCAATATAAGAAAGAAAGTCCCATTGCGAGATACTGAAAGACACATCCTAAAATAATCATGTGCCTTAGCCCATAAAATTCGCGAGGAAAGCCGTTATGTCCCAGAGGAATGACTCAGATGATTGCGGTGATGCTTGAAGCACCTAGCATGAAACCCACAAACAATTGAAAGCAGCACCTCTCCACAACATGACAACCACCTTTATCTTCCGATCATCCTTAAGAAGATCGAAAGCCTTCAAGCCACCTCAAAATGCAAAAATGGGTAATTATGAGATTTTGCTGCCATAAAGCACATAAGGCATGCATATAGAGAAATGACACGATTAGGCTTGCGACTTTGCAACAAATCATTGGTATTGAGCTTGTTCATATCAACCGTCCAGCAAAAACCTAACCTCAGATGGAACTTAAGCCTCCCAAAATTCACTACTAAAGGTCTCTTTGAGAAATAAAGTGGTGTGGGTGAAATCAGAAATAGTATCATCCAACAGTTTACACAACCTCAAGATAGCACCTTGATGATAATCTTAAGGCACTAGGGACGAGAATGATAGAACAAAAATTAGAAACCTTTTATGGATCCAATCTTTTTTGGGCACCAAAGTGATGAATGTTGAAGTCATGCTAACATTATTTTCACGTTAAGATAAAATTCATCAAAAACATTAATTAAATCGCTTTAGATACTGTCCTGACATCTATAAAAGAAGGAAATAGAAAAATTGTCAGGATCAAA